AGATGAAGATTTCGAAGTTTCTTCTTCGAATGAAGATCTCCGATAATGGTAATCATAAAATGGCTATAGTTAATGTCTCGAAATCAGTTCAACTTTTTATTTTTATCCACTGCCGCTTACAGCAGTCGGTAAAATTTAAATGAGGATCGAAAATTAAAACGGAAACCTCGATTTCCAGCAAGTCGTTTATTTCGAGGGTCCTTAACGTGTCAGTTTCGCGTTTTATACATATACGACACTTTAATATGAAAGAACCTCGTTGAGAATGCATGACAATAATAATTTCTCAGACCGCATTGGTAAATTCAACGACGTTTATGTATTGGGTCGTTTAAATAACAAATTTTGTGCAATATATTTAGAATAATCTTTTTAACGTGTGCATAGACGCTAAATTAATTATAACATTTCGAGCTATCTATTCTCTCGTCTCGAATACGATAACGCGTTAAAAAGAAAATGGCGGTGCCAAACGCATTAATTCTTTGCTGTAAAAGTTATTTTAACTCTAGCAATTTCTTACTGGCTAAGATATCTCGTACTATAAATCTTCAGCGCTTTATGAAATCGAAATTTAGCAAGAAATGATTTTATGTTATAATATGGTAATTTTTAGTGCCGCCTCAGTGTGCGGCTATTTAAGTTAATGGCATCCGTGACTGGCTAAGAAATGATCGAAAGCTTAAACGAGTCCGAATTTAGGCGAAATGCCTGGCATTAGACTAAACTTTCGTGTCAATCGTCGGTGGACATTAACAGTGAGCTGGTCACGTAAAAGTTACGTGTTCTGGAAGCCGGTTGTCGACTGCCGGTCACGTAGCAAACTAACACGACACACGACGTGATTATTATAAATGTTTCTTGAACGTTCCTTCAAAAATATGGCGCAGCATTATAAACACGATCCATAAACGGTGAACCTTCGGCGTCTCTTTGATCTCTTTTATTGCACGGATCCTTAAGTGGAATTCCTTCACTGGATTTTAATTAACAACGGCATTAATATTTATCATTAATTTACCTTTATATTTCCGTAGGCTGTGTAACTTACGTTTGTGACGAGCAAGGGATCGCTTTCACGGGAGATGCGCTTTTAATTCGTGGATGCGGAAGAACCGACTTTCAGGTTTGTGTGTATATGAATGACTATGTTTTTATAACACTAAAAACATGTTATAATTTACATATATTCCTCTCTAGCGCACCGGTTGGTCACGCAACTGGGACAGCTCGTATCTTTCTGCTAGTTGCAATTAGGAAAAAAAGAGAACGCCGGAGAGAATATTTGAATGGTCTAAAGAGATCTATTTTCGTCTCGCTGTTCCGCAAAAATGTGTACCGCTAAAATACCGCAGAAATGGTAATTTCGTTTGTTCGAAACAATAGGACACAAAACGCGTCTGTCCACGAAAAGACTGTCTCTCCTGTGAAAATAGATTTCGCCTGTCTATTCGCCCTTTCCGGTCGCGCAATTTTCTTCATTGCGAAATAATTCGATTTTCCTCAGTTGCGTGGGTCAGCCTGTACAGTTTAAAATACTTTACCGCCCCGAACCTGGAAATGTTAAAGCATACACGTATGTATAGGTATCCGATTGACGTAATTGGCTGCGCGTCAAAACCCTCCGAGCGCCGCGTTCGCGCAGTTCTTAATTTATTAAGCCCGATAATGTTGAGCGTTCAATCTTGAAATCTGGCGGTAAGGTTTTCCAGGGGAACGGTCACGTAAAATCGCGCCTGTTCGATATTGTTCGCGGTAACTTTGGCGTGTGCCGTTGCGCATCATTTATTTAAGCTCTGCAGCTTTTCGATGTGGCATCGAGAGATGTAACAGCTGCGAATAGTTTTGTTCTCTCTATTTTCGAAAAATTTCTTCTACGCCCGTGAAAGTTAGCGTGCTCGAGTAAACCTAAAACTCGTTAAAGCGACGCGATAAACGTCGGCCGCCGGGAATTTAATTTTTCGTCGAGCGAATTTCTAGGTAATTGGAAATAGATGTTGTCCGATCAGTTAATGGTAATTTCAACAATTCGACGAACAGCAAGGACACAAATTATTTATTACATACACGGATCGTTCTCGCTCTAATATTTTGAAGAAACGCGTCTTACACCGAAGCTGAGTGAATATCGCACATACCTCTCGTAAAATCCGCTGTTTAATTTTTATCGTCCGGATACTTGCACTTCCGCGTTGCCACGATATTACGGTTTGCTAAAATTGCCGAGCGAAAATTGAGCGACATTTTTCCGCGAGACTTTGTTTTTCCCTGTTTCATAATTTCACGTTATAACCGGAAATTACAGGGTGGTTCGCCGGAGACACTGTACAATTCCGTTCACACGAAGATTTTTACGCTGCCGGCGAATTATAGGCTGTATCCGGCACACGATTACAATGGTAGGATGGTAACCACGGTGGCCGAGGAGAAGACCTTTAATCCGAGATTAACCAAATCTCTGAATGAATTTGTTGACATAATGAACAACCTTAATCTGTCGTACCCAAAGATGATAGGTATGCTAATCCGCCGTGTGCAATTTCGTTGAGGGACTAACGAGATTTGCCGGCGTTAAGCTTCGATAATCTCGAAATTTTGCGAGACGTTTAACACCGTGCACCTTTTTGCAGACAAAGCAGTGCCGGCTAACAAAGTTTGCGGCCTCTACGAGGTCGAAGAGGCGAAGAAGGAGCCATAATATATTTTTACGCCCGTCAAATCGATGGGTCGTGAACCCATTCGTTGCAGAGTTACACAAACATCACATAATAAAACGATTTCGCGTTTCGAAACGAATAAAAACAACGTACACACGATGCGCCATTTTGCCCGGGGACGCGTTGCAGCGCGCAAAATACCGCACACTGTTATTGTAATTAACACACCCATTCTCTTTAATCTTTAAGCGGCGGCATCAACCGTACTGTACTATTTCCAGAACCGAAATCTGACGTTACAGAATCCATTAGCGTAATCCTTTCGTTCTCGCTAAATATTTGTTTCGCTTTCCAAATAAAGTGCTCGACCGACGTAAAAAGTTAATTAAATTTTTCCGTCGAACATGCCCGCCTGGATTATTCAGGATCCGCTAGCAAACGCATTTGTTACGCGATGATAAATGTTGCGCGAGTCTTGGCCAAGCATATGTAAATGTCTGTAAATATTCGCGCTCGACTATCTAATCTTATTTCTTAGCACGATTATACTAAATCTTTAACTGTGCGTGTAAATAGAAAACCATAAAGTTTAGCTATAAAAAACGTTAAGCTGTAACCAAGAAGTTCCTGAGATTTTCATAAAGCGTATTCAAACTTGCAGACTTTTCAAATCGAAGCTTGCATACGGAACAATCTTATAGTTGACATGTTATTAGTCATTAGATTAAATTTTAATTGAAAAAAAAGAGTTAGTAAAAAGATACCAGTGCATATTTACACATTAGCTATCAGCATTTGTTTCGCCGCTTAGCTGTATCGTCAAGGTGTTTTATTAGAAGCAATCTACCTGCCCCATAAATCATTCAAACAGTTCGGCAAAGTAATGATGTGAACTTCTCTATCTTATGCGAACTGTTATCCGGTGACATACAAATAAAATACTGCTTTACGAGTTTAAACACTCGTAGTTTCATTGAATAAATCTTGCCACGCTGTCCGTAAACGGAGCGAAATATTAAAACTAATAATAATGATAAATACGACTTGGTTGCGCAATTTCAACATAAGTAAGACGTACAATGCTGTTCATGCGATGCATCAGATTTGCGTAAAGAGCCTCGAGTACAGTAGGGAAACACAGGTCTGAGACTGGAGGTTACGCTCGTCTCGGTTTTGTGTGTACAAATTGCGTAATACAGAGCCGTAGTATTATTACCATTAAAAATATTACGACGTAGACGAGGTCTAATGAAAGCGCACGGTTCCATTTAAACGATCCAAGGATGTATGAAAATCCCTGTATGCATTAGTCTCAAAAGGTTCAACCTCCCTGGGAGCCGCCTCTTTCAAGCACATCTTCGAACGGCCCGGAGATGATTACGCGAATACATTTAAACCGGACGTACCGCACAGTGAAAAGGGGACTCAAATTAGCATAAAACTGTGGGTGTAAGGCAAAGGCGACGCGGACGACGTATCGCTCCGGAGACGTACGATCACCACTTAAATAATAAGTTCGAGAAACCGAGAGAAGCTCCCATTTCTCTTTCTCTCGAAGCAGAAAAATCTTGCTGGGCTCGAGCTTTCCTCTTGGAAGCCTTCTAAAGTGCTTTCTGTTATCGGGCGCGAATCACCGTGAAGCCCATTAATCTTCCTTTAAGTAAGAATCACAAAAGATATTGTTGCGTTCGTATTACCCGGCTCTTGTTTATCCGCCCGCGATCCCAATTTGTTGCTCGGATCGCGATCGAACACGAGCCCTCGACATTGATCGTCGATTCTCGAAAATTCGTTACCCAATCTTGTAAATTGGACTGAACAGTTCGAATGACCGTCGGCTCGTTTGTGTGAGAGCACGCCGCGGAGTCAATTATCGAGACCGGAGAACCTGGAGAGGTCATCCCGGCGGCCATTTTGCGCGGGACTCTCGGTCGCGGCGGGCCCCGAATTTTCGGAAATTATGTGGAATAGAAATGCGATAATAGAGACGAAACGCGGCGTAATCGGGCGGTTTGAACGGGGCTGTCTTGTCGAAACTCGAGACGAAGAGATCCCCATGGTGTGCCGCTGGTTTCTACTGCATAGCTGAGGGTTGAAATCGATACCGTTTCCAGGGTAACCGGTGGGTACGGTGGCCGACACACGGGCAAAGGTATGGGCCAAGGCTATCTGCTCGTGCATTTTCATGTTCTTCTGACGAAAAAAACGAAGGAGAGAGAAAGAGAGGGAGGGGGGAATGAGAGGAAAACAGAAGGAGAAGGGGTGAGAGGGACAGGTGAAAAAAAGCGAAGACGAAGGCGTAGGAGGAGGACAGATAAAGCCACGCGGAATGTGTAATTTCCCCGGGTCTAGTGGCTTAGACGAAAAACAGGCTGGGGAGGGGGTGGAGAAAAAAAAACGGCGCACCGAAAGGACGGCTGCTGTTAACAAACGAAATGTCAAGAGATGCTTGATAAGAGGGTGCACCGTGCCCCGGCAGTCTTCGAAACCGTAAAAATGACAAGAGGCCGGCCCGAGCGGATGCGACAACACAACCTCGGCGATTCGTGCGGACTCGAGCATGGAGGGCCGATGCATGCTGCTCACGATTTTTCTTCCATCCACTTGGTTCTTCGTCTTCGCCCCTGTCCCCTGACCTTGCTTCGGTTACGCGTCGTGGACTTTATTAGGAGACGATTATGCGAGCGGGATCGCCGGAGTAGCGTTTCCCAGAAAGTTGCGACTCGCAGTAGCCTGTTGCCGATTTATGCGATCGTTGCCGAAAAGTATGCCTCTGCTGTTTGTTGTTGAACTGCTAGTTCAACGGGCTCGTTTGTTTGTGCGCTCTGGCAAACTGCGGTTGTTTTGTTGCGTTATCTTTTGAAATCAGCCCGCTGGAGCGGCTACCGCATTTAGTTGCGATTGCATGAGAACGTGACTATGCACATTGAGGGCTATAATTACTGTTAATGGGGCTCTTTTTGTGGTCAAAGCATTCCCGCACCTGCTGCTTTTTCATTTGTAGATTTACCGCGTTTTTACTATGTCCAAATCTGCTGCTTTATCATTCTCAGATCTGTCGTTTTATCATGTCTCTACGTCTGCTGTTTTGTCACCTCTAGATTACAATGCTTATATATTCGGGATTAAGTTAGTACGTAGTGGCAATTTTTTTAGAGGCGATTGCAAAAATTGCTTTTAAGTGGCCAGGCACGGAGAAGAAGCATCATGCAAGCGACCAGATTGGTCGTACGTAATAGGTGCACAACTATGTGCATGATGTCATGCTACCTTGTCGCTGTTCGCATGCTAATAGCGACGGTCGTAATGGCACGCGAAACGGACGAGTCTATATCAATTAATAGTTTTTATTGATCGTGAAGGAGCTGAACGAATGATCTATCTTTAGAGGCGTGTCAGCTGCCAACATCCGGTTTTTTCTTTTTTAAATCGAAGCTTTGGAGCACACCCCGGCTTACTGCGACGGATGACGCGGTCAAACTTTATCATCGATTGGCATCGGCTAAGGTTTCCGCACGTATCATTGGAACCGCTATTTCATCCGGTATACGTTGAATATTTTCGTAGAATTATACGGTAGAAATGAGAACAGAGATGCATAGATCGTATTTCATGGATTTATCCGAATTCATCGTGTATCCTGTATCCCATGCCACCGGCTCGGCCGTAACAATAAATATGCGTGAACAATGCAGATTGATTAGTGAAACTAACGTTCTGCGAACGCTATTATTTTACGCAGTTTCCGCGGGCTCGTAAAAACTCGGTAACAATGGAATTCATTATTGTACGTTAACTAATTATTTTGATAGATTATTTTCGAGTACAATGACCGATCGATTACCAAAAGAAATTATTTTTGGACGTTTAATTAATGCAGTGCAACTTTTATTGTACGTTAACTAATTATTTTGATAAATTGTTTTCAAGTACAATGACCGATCGATTACAAAAAGAAATTATTTTTGGACGTTTAATTAATGAAGTGCAACTTTTTTCTAGTGCAACATTTAATTAATATTGAAAGTTCCGGTCACTCTTTTCTGTTAACAATTACTTATCGGTATTGAAAAAGGTACACCGAGATCCAATATTATTAGCGAAAGCATCAATATTTTTGCAAGTTCGAAAAATCGCATATTTTATTATTGACTGTCATTTCTATTTGTTCACAATAGATATCTTATTCATATTAAATTATTCTTTTGTATTATTTAACTAACTCCAGAGTGTGGAAGGAATTACCATAAAAGTATTGAAAATATTTTTGCGAAGTCTCCAACTAATACTTTATCTTTTTAATATATTACTATGCTAACAATTTTGAAATTCACTGCAAACTTTTATAAAAATAAAATATATCTTAATATCACAAATGATCTTGAAAGAAATTAATAAAGAACTAGGGTTAAAATTCTATACCCTTGTGTTTTACGTAAAAAGTTCGCCATCATAAACGGTGCAATATTTATTCTCTTATTTTATCGAACAAAGCACATGTTTTCGGTAAGATCAACGCAACAGTAGATATAAATGTCAGATATAAATGTAGAAACTAGACTTTATCACGTTGTATGCTTCTATAAGCATAGATTGCTATTACAAGCAGTGTACCATTTATTCCGTTTCTTTTTACTGAAGATACAAAATATATTTTCAGTTCAATCGACGCGGAAAATTTCTTCGAAAAATGAATGCACATTGAGGACGTTGGCAGAGAAGGAGAGAACGCGATTTCAAAATCTCAATATTCCCGCCACGGTATCGACTGACCACTGCGCGCATGTGAACGCGCCCTCCGGCGCGGTCATCGAGTGACAGCTTTTGATTGGTCGAGTCGTTTCAGCGGCACCGGCGCCGCGCTTCACCTCCATCTTGATTTCTCGTGAAGCGACCCACCCAGCAGCAGTGTCACAGTAGTACGCTGTGCTCCCGTATACACGGCGGGTGATAGTGGGTGTCTATCGTAACCGAAGAAGAGCGAATAAATTTGTTCCGCAACTGTTCCTGCGGTTTTTGTTACACGTAGTGCGGTCGCCGACTAACACTCGCTTCGAAGTTCGTTAAACTGGTCATTGTCGCGGGGAACCAGTAGGACGGAGGACGGTGCCGGAATTTAAAGAAAGGTTTGGCGGAGAGTGGCAAGATGAAGGGGATGCTGGTGGCCGGACTGCTGACCGTTCTGATGATCTGCCGGGGCCCGGCGGTTATTGTAAGTACTATCGTTACATATCTCTCACCGTGGACACCGCGAGTGTAGACACCGCAGAAGACGTAGAACCGCGAATCGATCGACCCCGGACAATTCCAGCTCGGTCGATCCCGTTGTCAGTTCGATTATTATTTCTCTTGCGACATTTATTTTGTCCTCTCACCCCGAAACGGTCGGGCGAGCGGCAAATGTCACGCGCAACGCGCAACCACGATCGATGTACTCTCCGCGAATCTACTTACTTGCCCCCCGTGAAATTCTCTTTAAACGCTCGTCGATTAGCCCGTGCGCTACCTGTCAAACGGTTCACGGAGCCCTCGATCGATGTTCTTCATGTTGCTCGATGCGTTCGTTCACAAGTGCGTTATGGGAACGGCTGTAACGATCGAGCCAGCCGTAAAGGACCTACTCGCCCGCGAGAAATGTTTTTGCCCACGCTCAAGGAGAATGCGTGTTCATTCTCGCCGCCTACTATTCTGTTCTACGTTACCATGATTCTCCTGGGTTCAGCCGCGCTAAAGTATTACGTGTCGCGAGATATACGCGTCCATGATCCTTTGCGGGATTATTTGAAACGCTCGATGTCATGCGTCTAGGACGCGATGCAGCTAATTTGTTTTTCATCGAGCAACTGCCAGTGGAGCGGTGCTCGTACCGATCATCGATAAGTTGGGAATAATCGAACGGATTTAAAAAAAATACTCCGAACAAGACAGCGCTGACTTAACGATATACTGTTAATTCACAGTGTATTGTCCTTAACAAGTATCGATATCTTCTATACGTATTCCTCTAAAAGTTCGTTCATCAAATCGTACTTCAATTATTCGCGAATATTTTAGTCGGCCATACAAGGGTCAAGGAAGTGCAGAAGTAGGGTGTAACACGTAGCGAATGTTAGTTCGTCGTTGTACGAATTGATCTTAGCCTGCGATCTTATTTTTCTATCATTAAGAATCTTTCGTTTCAAGAAAACTAGTGCTAAATGGAAAATAGGAAACGTCGAAATTGCATAAAATTACGAAAGTCGATGGTCCCTCTTCGTTAGTTACAAAGGTGTCTAGATCTAAGGCGATTCAATTTACGGACATCTTGAAAATATCGACATATCGAACCGAGTGCGACAGCTCTATATTATCGATGTTTATCGATAACGTTATCGAAAGCATCTACCTCGACGTTACGGTTCTCGAGTAAGGGGTTAGGTTTCTCGGCGTATCAAGGGAGTTTCGAGAACCGGTTAATTAAAGCCTCGCCGAGGTATGACGTGTGGTTTTCATGGCAGAGAACAATGCAGATTGCGATAAGCACCGATGACGTACATTTGATCTGTGGTACTAGTTTCACGTTCTACACTATTCTTCTTACTCCTCGCTCTTCGTCGATAGTTTTTGAAAACCAACATTTCCCTCGGCTCGGTTTTTTATTCTTTTCGAATTTGCATTTTTTGTCTTCTCGAATTTGCAGTTTTTATCTTCTCGAATTTGCAGTTTTTGTCTTATCGAATTTGCAGTTTTTCTCTTCTCGAATTTGCATTTTTTGTCTTCTCGCACCGAGTGGCGCACGAGGGTTTACGAGGCAACCGCTTCTAAAGCGTGTCAAAGCGCGTCTGTCCCGGGGGAGTAACCTTCTGTGTATGCGCGAATTATCACGCACTAACGGACATAGGCGAAAACGCTCCGACGGAAGAGAGCGGGACGTGGCAGAGATCGCTGCCACACGTAAGTCACGAAACGGATTCACGAACGATTTTCTCGTTAACGTTAATTCCGCGTGACAGTTCAATTTACGTTGCCCCGGCCGGGCCCCGTGAAATGGGACGCGTAATATATGGGAATGCTCGCCGCGGATAAACGTCCCACCGGATCCATTGCCGGACGAAAAAAAGGCGAGGTTGGGTTCGCTCTTTTTAAACTTTGATACGGTGCTTCGATACATTGATTTTTTCGATTTCACGGTCGATTGTTCGTTCGTTCTCTTTCGACCCTCGACAGCCTTGGTAATTATTAGGTTGGCGCATATGAAATGTCGGATTTTTAAATGAGTAGTAAGGAACTCGTTTTCTCAAAGGCGTTTATTCAATCAAAATTTTTTTTATCCGTAAATGCCATTTTTAAAGATGTTCCGGGTTTTTGAATGAACAAACTCGGCTTACAAAAGGATTACGCTAATATTCGCAGAATTCAAACTCGCACGAAACTCAAAGTAAACGACAAAAATACAGAATTTTGGAAAAATTCTTTTTGGCAATAAATACAAATTCTTTTATACAATAAAACTGTAAAAGATGTTATGTCACAGATAACAACATGACGTAAGCAAACATTTCATAAGCAATTAATCTAATATGTACAAAATGGCTTCCCGATTTTGAAAAAAATTTGGTTATATAGCTACATATTTTTAACACATTTGTCCGTTACAATATGTGTTTCAAGTGTAGGTTAAATCTGGCTTAGACTACAGTTTTACGCGAATATTTCGAACACGGTACAGCATACTTAAATTTCATCAAAATCAAAGTGGAGGATCCTTTTGTAAGTAATTGCCACGACTTTTTCGCAGGCCGGAAAGGGTTTGAAAAATGTACAGTGCAATTAAGGTGGAGGAAGTCTCGATAGTGCAATTGATAATTGTGCGACTTCAAAGTGACGTCACGGTGGAGGATTAATGAGAAAATTGAAAGGTTTGCAGCAATGAGGCGGACAGCTCCATATTTTACTCGTACTCTTGCTGCATATCCTACCTCGTTTCAAAGTCTTTATCTTGTGCTACTAAAAACAGGTTAGCAAGTAATAAGCATGGCGGTTCGTCGATAGGTGAATTATTTCGGTCGAAGTTATATTTAATGTCGATTGAAATCGCAAACAGCTTTTCAATTATTTACGATCCTTTTATACTATCCTTCCTTTCCTAGATTGAAATAGACCCGCCGTCAGCGGGTAGAAGTAAACCGCCATTACGGACTGTTAAAAAATTGATCGTTGTCCGCGCGCTTTACTTAACCGTTAGATAATTGAATTTACATTTATTTATATTTACATGCACAGAAAGAATCGCTAGCCAAGAATTAGAACGCGTTGGCCAGAAATAAATTGAAATGTTCGATAATCGTTCGAATTTACAGCAAAGTCGCCCGACGTTCAAACTTTACGCAACGAACGTCACGCGCTAAAGTGCACAATAAATAAAAGTGAAAGGTTTTAGAAAGCCTAACGAAATCTTTCCCTTCGCTTTTAAAATAATAGACGATTTTTTCTAACACAAAGATCGCTTCTCATCAATTAATACTCGAGCCGAAGCCTATTCGGCCGTTAAACGTAGCTTCCACGATACGCGATCATTGTTTCCTTTTGAAATTTGATTGGTAAATCGACGTTCCACGAAACTGCTGAAGCCGCACCGAACAAAAAGCATTCCGATATATTCATTGGCCTAATTAACTCGCCGGTCCTCCCGATTGAAAGACGAAGAAAGCGGCTGTATTTGAGCGGCGAAGGCAGGAAGCTCATTTTATCGGGGAAATCGATACACAGTTTCAGGAAAGCGATCAAAGGGAGGAGAGAACGGCGAAAAGAAAGATCAGGGGGGTAGAGGAGGTCGGCATAAAAGAATCTGCGACGAAACTGAAAAATGCATTGAAACTCTTTCGTCCTCATTTAGTCCGCGGCTACATTAACGCCCAGCATTTTCCCGTGCATCGACATAGGGGACAAGAAGCCGCGTTTAAGCGCCGCCAAGATCTTTTCTTTTTCCTTTTTCACTCTCTTCCCTCCCTCCCCCTCTCTCGCACTCTCTATCTTTTTCTCTCTATCTCTCGCTCTATCTTTTATTGCTCTCTCTCCCTCTCTCTCTCTCTCTCTCTCTCTCTCTCTCTCTCCTTCACTCTCTCTTTCTCTCTCTCTCTATTTTTCACTGTTTCTCTCTCGCGTTCTCTCTTCTCTTCTCTCTCTCACTTTCTCCCTTTTCTTCTCTCTCTTTCTCTCATTCACTCAGTCACTCAGACACACTTCCCCGCCTCCTATTTTTTCTGGAAAACCCGTTCGGTGAAAACCGGAGGTTAAAATGGAGCCGCGGCGGCTAAAACGGGGAAACGTGGAAAACCGGGGCGAAACCTTTGACTGGGGCCGGCGTTTTTCAATCGCGCGACACCGGGGCACACAGTTTTAACAGAATCTGGGTAAGGATCGTAATTGCGGCTAAGTAAAACGCGAACGCGCGATAGCATTTAATACCTGTGCGCCGCGGTGCGATCGGCTAGCTTCCCGGCCATATTTCTTTTTCACACGGAAATCTGGAGCATCCTTTCATTCCTCGGCTAACGGACCGCGTTACCGTTCAACCCCGGCCCATTCGGAGTTATTTTAATTCGGCTACTGGTCAAGTGGGATGTGATACCCGCGGATTTTCAATGAACGATACTCTAACGGGGCTACGCCGCTCGTCCGACAACGGGTACGGTTTTGTTTTCCTCGAAAAATTACACGAAATTTACAGGCTCGGCATTCTGTTTCTTGGTTGGCGAAATCATAATGGCGCTTTTACTTCGAGTGATCGTATTTGCAGGATTGGGGCGTATGCGATTAATAGAATGTGGAGTTGATGCAGTTGTCATAGAAATGGGTAGATAAAATAGCAAAGTTTGAGCACTTTAGACAAATTTTAGACCATTGCTGTCGTTTTCTTAGTTTATTTACGTTATTAAGAGAAGGAGTACATTTTTGTTCAACTTTTTTATATCAACATTTCGTTCAATTTTTTATAATCGAGTTAGACAATTTTTATTTTGCCTAAGGAACCATCTGTTTGGCTGCAGATATGAATGTTTTCTGATTGTGGGAATTTATCTCTTCGAGCATGAACGAGAGCACATTATTTAGTTATTTACAGGACACAAAATCAGTACATATTTTTTGTCACACTGTTTGAGGCTTTGATACACAATCTGGTTTTCTGGCGAAGACGATTTTAATATTTTCAGAAATCTTCGTCTGCAACGGGTTAGTTGTGTCTCTTTACAAATGAGCGTAACTGTGATTAAGAAGGATATAGTAGATAATGTTGGATGTTTCATGTTATTTCGGAATATCGAGGCTAGTTACGGAATTTTTATCGTAAAAGACGTTTCTCATTGATGAACAAGGTGTTTTCTAACGAGAGAAGAATATTGTGTGTAAGTTATTTATGTTCTTATTTCAATGGATATTAATCTATTAACAAGTCTTATAATTTCTACAAGTAGTTACTAGATCGTGGATCTTTGTGTAAAGCAGAAGTTTTGTGAATATACATTGCAATATATTCAGGAGGTAAATATAAATCTATTTCTTCTACTAATCACTTTAATACATTAAAAATAGCGTACAATTATTTTCTTTCTTCTACGGTTTGAAAAATATCCGTTTTCGTCATAAAAATATAAAAAATCCACAGTACACTCGCACAAATTGTTCTCTTCCATTGACCATTCGTTTTAATATCGTGCAGAATATTGAAAAGCACTTGGAAACAATCGATTTAANCTCTCTATCTCTCGCTCTATCTTTTATTGCTCTCTCTCCCTCTCTCTCTCTCTCTCTCTCTCTCTCTCTCTCTCCTTCACTCTCTCTTTCTCTCTCTCTCTATTTTTCACTGTTTCTCTCTCGCGTTCTCTCTTCTCTTCTCTCTCTCACTTTCTCCCTTTTCTTCTCTCTCTTTCTCTCATTCACTCAGTCACTCAGACACACTTCCCCGCCTCCTATTTTTTCTGGAAAACCCGTTCGGTGAAAACCGGAGGTTAAAATGGAGCCGCGGCGGCTAAAACGGGGAAACGTGGAAAACCGGGGCGAAACCTTTGACTGGGGCCGGCGTTTTTCAATCGCGCGACACCGGGGCACACAGTTTTAACAGAATCTGGGTAAGGATCGTAATTGCGGCTAAGTAAAACGCGAACGCGCGATAGCATTTAATACCTGTGCGCCGCGGTGCGATCGGCTAGCTTCCCGGCCATATTTCTTTTTCACACGGAAATCTGGAGCATCCTTTCATTCCTCGGCTAACGGACCGCGTTACCGTTCAACCCCGGCCCATTCGGAGTTATTTTAATTCGGCTACTGGTCAAGTGGGATGTGATACCCGCGGATTTTCAATGAACGATACTCTAACGGGGCTACGCCGCTCGTCCGACAACGGGTACGGTTTTGTTTTCCTCGAAAAATTACACGAAATTTACAGGCTCGGCATTCTGTTTCTTGGTTGGCGAAATCATAATGGCGCTTTTACTTCGAGTGATCGTATTTGCAGGATTGGGGCGTATGCGATTAATAGAATGTGGAGTTGATGCAGTTGTCATAGAAATGGGTAGATAAAATAGCAAAGTTTGAGCACTTTAGACAAATTTTAGACCATTGCTGTCGTTTTCTTAGTTTATTTACGTTATTAAGAGAAGGAGTACATTTTTGTTCAACTTTTTTATATCAACATTTCGTTCAATTTTTTATAATCGAGTTAGACAATTTTTATTTTGCCTAAGGAACCATCTGTTTGGCTGCAGATATGAATGTTTTCTGATTGTGGGAATTTATCTCTTCGAGCATGAACGAGAGCACATTATTTAGTTATTTACAGGACACAAAATCAGTACATATTTTTTGTCACACTGTTTGAGGCTTTGATACACAATCTGGTTTTCTGGCGAAGACGATTTTAATATTTTCAGAAATCTTCGTCTGCAACGGGTTAGTTGTGTCTCTTTACAAATGAGCGTAACTGTGATTAAGAAGGATATAGTAGATAATGTTGGATGTTTCATGTTATTTCGGAATATCGAGGCTAGTTACGGAATTTTTATCGTAAAAGACGTTTCTCATTGATGAACAAGGTGTTTTCTAACGAGAGAAGAATATTGTGTGTAAGTTATTTATGTTCTTATTTCAATGGATATTAATCTATTAACAAGTCTTATAATTTCTACAAGTAGTTACTAGATCGTGGATCTTTGTGTAAAGCAGAAGTTTTGTGAATATACATTGCAATATATTCAGGAGGTAAATATAAATCTATTTCTTCTACTAATCACTTTAATACATTAAAAATAGCGTACAATTATTTTCTTTCTTCTACGGTTTGAAAAATATCCGTTTTCGTCATAAAAATATAAAAAATCCACAGTACACTCGCACAAATTGTTCTCTTCCATTGACCATTCGTTTTAATATCGTGCAGAATATTGAAAAGCACTTGGAAACAATCGATTTAAGAGAAGCACAACTTTTTAATCTAGGTCAGTTGATACAGTCTGCACAGATTTATTAACCGCGCGTCGAATACGTCTGTCCGCAGCTGTCTGTTTCTACTTCGAACTGAACAGTGTCAATGGTGTACAGGCTTATCAGTTTTCCATCGATCTTATTATTTTCTGTTGTGTCAGCCCGCGCGAAGTCATTGTGAAAAAGCAGATGAGAGACTATGCCACTGTGTGTCGATATCTGTAAACGTTGTCGCAAGTGGAAATGGCCAGCAGTGGTTCGACGTATCCGTTGCGGTCCACACGTGTTTAATAGGCTTTCCGAATCGATCTTCTTGAAAACGAAAGTTCTCTTCGAAAAAATTCCACGTATTTCGGTGTGTTTCGTTTCTGCACGCTGTGTTTGCAATCTTGTGAACCATTGGCAATTGTTTCAATTCCATTGATAATGGATATTTAACGACTTTTGAAGTTTCAGGTTTCCTAAAAGAACACAAGTGCTCGAGCGAATTTTACCAACCTCGTTTTCTCCTGTAATCATTGTTAATTAGTAACGATTTCCTTATACTTTGCTGTAATGTGAAATTCGCACTGTAGAATTAAATATATGTATTTGTAACGTAATGGAAACGTGAAATCGTAGAAACATGACGACGAACGCATGCAATATTGATAACGAAGACGACGTATAGATAACAATTTACTTCATCGGTTATACAATAATTATAACGCATTCCAGCTAATTTCTTCTATCGGTGATTTCTAAAATCTTTGATCGTCTTCGTTATTTAGTATTCCATGCGGTAAAATAAATTGAGAAAAGTTGCAAAGAACAGGTGTCCATTTCACAATAACATATCGCAGACCAGTAATGAATATAGTTAGCGAATATAGCTACCGACTAGAGAGTGGTCGAAAGAAAAAAATAGAATATGCGCAGATAGTGCAGTCTTCAGCGGCATAAATCCATAAACATCCAGGAACGTAGCACAGGGCCGTCGTCGTCGAAGTAGTGAGGCCATATTTTTAATTGTTAATAAAGCAGATCGATGCGACTGCTGTCGGCGCGGAGGATGCATTTTGCAGGGACGGTCGAGACGGCAACAAATTTCGTTAAAGGTTCGCGGAAGATTAATGACCGACGATAATTCTGCGTCGACTAGTCGATTCAGCCCCGCTATTAGTTCGGCCACGAACCTACGGCCTCGGAGGCTCGCCTCCGAGCCTCGAAGTGAATTCCCGGCGAGATTCGATGCCTCGAATCGAATTTGTTCGCTCGCGAGTCAACATTCTCCGCGGAGCCTGTTATTTACGATTCATTGGAATATCGAGCCGTTCCTCCGCGAATAACGAGGCTAGCGAAGCTTATTATTTTACAAAGCACGCACGAAAACGATTGCGCCGGAGCGCATAAACGGAGCCGTCTGTTCATGCAAACGGAAATAAAAAGGGTGGAATAAAATTGTTTCGGGCGCATCACAAAGGAAAGATTGCAGCTCGAATTCCGGCACGGCATATTCGCCATCCGACGAGATATATTATCCTAAAGATGTCTGCTCTCGTTGCTTACCTTATCTACTTATTATTGCGCCTTTATGCGAATCGCAATCCATTGTTGCTTTTATATGTTCCCGTGGAGATGTATCGTTGGAAATTCAATTTTGCGTGAAGATAGCGATCGCGAACAGCGCACAATATTTACTTCGTTGCAGTTTTTCCGTTTTACCGCACTTCACGCCAGTATACCGATAACTGCGCATATTCATGCAGGATCGAAATCTTCGGAAATAATGAGAATAATATTCTGACATGTGATGGCGTTTTTGAATTATTATGCAATCTTCGCTTCCTGTGTATCACGCATCCATATTCACCGTAAATGTATGAAACTTGCGCAGGGTTGGACACCTTTCGAATGAATTCTTCGAATAAAATTTTATTCGAGTGATTTAATTTAATAAATTTAATAAATTATAATAGAGAGATATAGTAATTTAATAAATTTTTTCGAACAAAATTTTACTCGAGAAATATTTCAAATAAAATTTTATTCGAAATTTATTAAATGAACTGAAATTGTAAAGAAAGGACTCCTGACTCACGGCTTATGGGCCAAATCTGGCCCGTGGTTCGTCCCTTACACATTCACGCGACGCAAAGAAGGGCATGACATTGTTTCTTTTGTGTTCCACGGGGAGCAATAATTGGGAGAAATAATTTACATTATTTCGGTAAATATTTCGAATAAAATTTTATTAGTCAAGAAAAAGATTTAGGAGTCCTTTTTTTACAACTTTGCTTTATTTAATCAATTTTATTCGAAGTATTTCTCGAATAAAATTTTATTCGTAGAATTTCTCGAATAAAATTTTATTCGTAGAATTTATTCGAAGAATAAAGAATAAAGAATATTTCAGATGTTATTCGAATAACGCCAAACTCTTAACCCGCAGTGTACTAATTACGCAACAATGGTCAACATTCTCCATGCGACGACTTTGACAATGTAATTTTCCAAATGGCGAGCCTTGGTAACAGGCTTCCGAAAACGTGCCTGAATTCGCAGTAGTTTGGAAATAAATAAGAACACAAATAGGTCAGAACGTAGAGTGGGGCTAAGAGGATGGAAACTAAAGTTCGCGGCAAGGTTCATTTGAATCGAAGTCAGCCAACTCTCTGTCGTGCGTATTTAAACTTAGGAGTTTTTAGTTTAAATTGCGTATCGACCTTCGTCCCGGCTTCTGCCGGATAGTTGTTTGGTAAAGAGATTATTTACCAGGGAGACCAAGGATGAAAAGCATCCTTGGAGGATCAGCTTAAAATTCATGGAGTTACTGTCGAAGGTTTCATTTCTTATAATATAGTCTCGGGAAATACGCTTAAAAATCATCGGCGGTAATGTCTCTTCCTATCTTCATCGCTCTATACTTCATTTTATTTTCAGCTTCACAAATTCCCTTCATTTTCAGATTCGCGAATTCTCTTCATTTTCATATTCGTCAATTTCCTTCATTTTCATCTTCGTAGTTATCTTCATTTTCATCTCCTTATCTTTACTTCTTTTCTTTTCTCACTTTTAATCTTGATTTTCTGGAGACCATGTTAACAATTAGCGACATAGATATTTTATATTTACCGATATTAGATTGTTTCTGATATTCTAATGTTAATATTATTCTTTGTTCATAGAATTTTTGTAACAGTGCAATGCAAATTTTTCTGACCAAGAAAGTCTTTTTTATTTTCGTTCGAATGGGTTGATATAATCGCACGCCGTATAGTGAATAAACGAAGAATTGTAATTAAAAAAAATGTTTTCTTGTAGTCCAAAGATGTATCTATATAGATCCCAAGAAATCGCGTGTCAATATTATTAGCGATCTCTTGGGAAAAAATTCGCGAAGATCGCCAATGTTCGTAGCCGTCTGAGAATCTACACCTCGTTCGCTTACAGTTGTATACGACAGACGTTTCTGTCTGTTGCACCGGTCGAAGGAACAAAATTGCTCATTCAGCATTGTCCGTCGTCGAACCCGTGGGTTTGCGTCGGCCGTGCAGAAACAACCGTACGCGAAAACTACGGGCCACCCGGTTCTATTTGCAAGCGCTTCAAGAGGTTTAACAATGCCGTGTTAATAAATCGTCGAAGAGGCCGCAAGGACCATTCAAATAACAAACGTCGACGGGAAGCGGAGTTGCAGCGGGGCGCACCGACTGCTTGTAAATTAACAGGTGCCTCGACGACCTCAATTTCGGGGTTCCTCCCGTCGCGGCTTGACTAATCTGACGAATAGAAAACGGCGATTTTTCACGCGTCGGCCGAAACGAAGCCCGTTGATTGTTTTACGCGAAACACGAAGAACGATCGCCGTTTCTCGGTGATGCCGCATCGTCGGGGAGGGTTCCGCGCGAGTGTTTCTTCTCGCGAACGACCCTTAAAATCGAAGCACACTTGTCCGCCTCGGTGCTTCGGAAATTTGTACACTCCGACGGTCTTCGAAAGCAGATTGACTGGAAAATGTTGTCCGGACCATTGGAAAACGATACGTGGTTTGTTCTATAAGTGGTTTCTGTCTTTTACGACGCGCAGTCGTGACGGAATCTTCAGAATAGTCTATTAATTACATTATGCATGAAACACTTCGTTATAATGCAAGGAGTTAAATATATACTGATATGTAGATTGACTTATCTTACAATTATAGAGTAGTCTATCCTAGATTGATCCATTTAAAATTAACCTATCTTGAATCGATCTATCTACATGTCTGGAAAGTACCTACAAGCGTTCCGTTTCAAGTCGAACACCGTCGTCGAATGCATTCGACGCATTGCCATAATCAGCGTTGCCAAAGAGTTTTTGCTCTCTATGTGCACTGCAGCGTGTATCGATGTTTTATTTGCCGAAAACCGGTTTAATGTAGGTGGACCGAAGTTAGAAAGTATTAAATCGTTCATCGGGGCCAGACTTTTTACTTGATGGCGGTATGAGTAATATCGCAGTTACGGTTTGTATCCGGCGCATCGTGGAACTTATCTCGTTCACGGTTACGATGTTGCGTTACACGCTTGTTACTTCATTTCACGGACGCTAATGACTTCATCCGTTTACTTTAAACCACGTCCAATGTGATGCGCGCAACGTTTCTCCGGCTAGAGGAAAAAATTGATTGCGGCAAAAAGGTATCCGCGGAATGGTACCTGGCCGCGTCGTTGGTACCTCGCAATTTTGTATCGCTGGAACACTTTGTTCTGCGGCACATAATGTTTAAGGAAATTACAATGTCACGGTTCGGCGAACGTCGAACGATCGTTCTCATTAAGCGTGCAATGGTTATCAATTTTTCTCGAACGTATTACGATTAAACTTCTGCGAAGTTCTTTTAATCTTCTCCGGGAATCTGGTGTCCCCTTAAGTTTTTCATCCAATAGCCGACGCTAGTTTTTAATCGCATTAAAGCAGCAGCAGGCTGTTTAAAAATGTTCAGTCGAGTAGTCTAAGTTTCGAAGGCAACTTGGAGAACTGACTAAGGGGGGTGGCTAATGGTCCTGGATTTTTTTTTATCGAATGAAATGTCTCTTAAAGTCATCCATCAAACGGTTGAAATAACGTGCTTCGATTTTTTTTCGAACAATTTTCCGGTCGATTTAGACGATGTTAATAGAAGTAAAAATTATTTTGAAGAATCAGGAAAATGTCTGTAATCATCGATCAAGTGGTTGAATTAATATGCTTCGATTTTTTCAAACAATTTCCAGATCGATTTAGGAGATGTCCGCACTTTCAGAATTATTTTAAAACATCAGGATATTGTTTCGAATTATCGATCTAACGTTTTAAGAAAGTAGAACCTCTCTCGAATTATGTTCGCCAAATGTTCATTACGGTGCTGCTCCAATGTTTCTCAACAATTTTCTGAATCATTTAGAGACTGCCGATTCTACCAAAAAAATCCACAAAATTCTTCAAAAATACCGATCAAACTGGAATCGTGCAACAACGATTTCTAGGTCACGGCTCGCTTGAGGCAGCGCGAAAGTGCCAAAAAATATTTCCTCGGACGTTCCAATTTTCTAAGATAACGTCACTTAAGAAACATCGGCATGCGCCAACTAATTGGAAAAAAGTTAAGGAAGCTCTCTAAAACCGTCGATGAATGATCGAATGAAAATCGATCCTGGAATCACGGTTGCCAGGAGAAGAAGAGGAAGCGCAGCCTGCGTAAATTCAGTTACGTTGGGAATAGCGTTATCTCTGGCATCTCAGTCTGGCGGTGAACGCGTTAATAAAAAGAAAGAAAGAAGAGGAGATTGCGGACGAAGAAGAAGGAAGAGGAAGAGTCGAAGGAGGTACTCGTCGATCAATATGTTGGAGCCTTCCGGTACTAAAGCGGTCCGCAGTAGCGTTATAAAACGCGACACGTATCGAAGATAGCTCTGCAGTTCTGGTGTATACGGTGCAACCTCCATCCCGGCTTGGCTTCGTTCTTATCGATGCAGAATCGGCGATACGGGGCTAGTCGAGGCAGAACGAGGCAGGGCGAGGCGAGACGAGGCAAAAGGCGTCGTCGTAGAGCATCTTAAAGGGAGGTAACAGGGGGTCGTCCCGTTTCGGTCAACGTCAGCGTCTGAAAACTGTGGTATACGAGGCGCGGGTGTCGCGTGTGCCCGAAGCTCCTTAAGGTTCTGCGGTCAGATTCGCTTTAAGTGCATTAAGTAAATCCACTTAGATCGAATCTTATATAAAACATCGACTAATCAGCTTTA